CTCAAGCGATCCTCCTGCCTCAGCCTCCACAGTAGCTGGGACTACAGGCCTGTGCCACCACACCCAGCTAATTTTTTTCTATTTTCAGTAGAGATGGGGGTCTCACTCTTGCTCAGGCTGGTCTCGAACTCCTGAGCTCAAGCAATCCTCCCACCTCCGCCTCCCAGAGTGCTAGGAGTACAGGCATGAGCCACTGTGCCTGGCCAAGAGCAGTGATTGAAGACCAACCTAAATGTCACATCCATGTCTCAGTCCTCGTCTTACCAAATGGGTCATATCCTATTTCTTCATTATTTCATCACCGGAGAGCCAGCTCAGCCATGATGGAGCAAGACAACAACCAGAACATGCTGGAATGAGGCCAGAGCTGAGCACTTACGACTTCTTGTTCATGGACTCATCCCATGAGTATTTATTAAATGTCTACTACGCGCGAGGCGCGGTGGTGGATACAAAGGTGAGTGAACACGGCGAGGTGGTCTTGCCAGGTTCCTGGTAGAGGACAACAGGCTGTTCTCATCACGGCTGTGAGGACAGGGTAACTGGGCCAAGCCACAGCTGAGTGGTCAGAAGAGCAGCTTCAGTGAGACGGAGAGTGTGAGACAGCGTGATAGGACACAGAGTCAACGGCCGGAGACCAGCCTGGCGTGCAGCGATCGGGAAAGGAGTGTCTCTTCTGGAACAAACGAGTTGAGCAAACCATGATTCTGAGAGGCAGAAAAGCAAACACCAGGCTTCCCAAAAATGGTTACTGTGACCACAAACCCAAAGACAGTTTCACATTAGTTTCTGGGCCCCACCTGTACACGCTGGTATTAGCATCAGCATTATCTTGCAAGAGGGACAATGTCTCACATGAGACATTAGTTTAAAATGTTATTTAATTCAACACAAATAAAACTTCCTTATTCTGCTGCCAGAAAAAAAAAATTAAACAGCAAAATTTCTCAAAAATTTCCCTTTGCACACATTGTATACAGACAAGAGTGCCTAAATTAGAATTAGAGATTTGGGGCAAATTACTGGATTTGTGTTTGTGTCTTTGTTTGCAAATCTGTAAATGGTGTAACAGTCCCCACCTCGCAGAGTTACAATGAGGACAGGGTGAGGTAATGTGTGCAAAGCCCTTACAACGATCCGGGCACAGAGCAAGTGTTACATACGTGTCAGCCACGGCATCGTTATTAAATCACTATGTTGAGCTCAAAGCCAGACCAGGACTCTGTCCCTCCCCTTTGTCCTTTGTCTGTCCTATCCCTAGAGATACTTTTGGGTGAACATCTACTTATTACATAATATTTTTTTAAAAATCTTCTTTTTATCCTTGAGACAGGGTCCACAAATTTAATCTGGTACTTCACAAATTTCTGAGGCACAGAAAATTGTTTTCTTTGCACAATATTTTCAGACCACCATGCCTGGGGGGTGACAGCTGTGGTAAATCTCCTGAGCGTTTTGGTCTGCAGCCATCTCTTAATGGAAAGGACTATTTCTGACCTTCAGTTCTCAACAGTTACAAATGTCAAAGGCAGACCTTTCCCTCCTCCCAGGCTCTCCTCCCACTCTCCTGTCCTCTGCCGGCCTTCCTGTCCTGCAGCTTGCCTCCTTGCAGATAAGTGAATGCTCATGGGGTGTGACTGGGCCGGCTCTGAACGGTCCCTCTCCTAAAATATCTTCTTCTGCCGACAAAGGATGACCATCCCATCATCTGCATTGTACTCTGAGGGCTGGGCAAAGGGGCTTCCCCTCCAAATTCAGCACTATAAATATGCCTCTGGATTAGGACCGTGTGTCACCCAGAGTCCTGAGATAAACCACCCCTCCTGGGAAGGGGGGCATTAACCCATTATCTTCCCAAGCTGTTTAGGAACACAGGAGTGGGATGGAGGATGTTTTAAGGAGAGGCACCAACTGGAGGCTTGCAGGTAACTCTGACCCACAAGCATGTTTTGTGGGATACTACACATTTTAAAGTTGTTTTTTTCCCAGTGACTTGTCAGTGTTTTAAAACCAGGGTATTTTATACATTCTCTTGGAAAAAAACCCCACAAAAATAGAAACTCTAGCAATATTGTCCTGCATCCCCACAAAATAACAGAGGTCTCAGGTGTCCTCAGCCAGCTTCCCTACCTGTCCCGGGACCTCTCACCGTGGGGGAAATGTTGAGAGGACAGGCCTGGGCACCTGGAACTCACTTGTCTGTTCTATAACACTCCAATTCAAATATTTCTTGTAACTCTACACATATGAAACACGGAACACAAATACAAAATATGACAAAAAAAATAGATGATACAAAGTGACATAATTAGTCCTTGTCCTAAAACAACTTAGGGATTTATTGAGGAAAAAATACGGATGTTAAACTTCAAATAAGGATACATTTCTTATATATATATTTTTTTTTTTTTTTTGAGACAGAGTCTTGTTCTGTTGCCGGGGCTAGAGTGAGTGCCATGGCGTCACCCTAGCTCACAGCAACCTCAAACTCCTGGGCTTAAGCGATCCTTCTGCCTCAGCCTCCCGAGTAGCTGGAACTACAGGCATGTGCCACCATGCCCGGCTAATTTTTTATATATATATTTTTAGTTGTCCAGATCATTTGTTTCTATTTTTTAGTAGAGACGGGGTCTCGCTCTTGCTCAGGCTGGTCTCGAACTCCTGACCTTGAGCGATCCACCCGCCTCGGCCTCCCAGAGTGCTAGGATTACAGGCGTGAGCCACCGCGCCTGGCCCATTTCTTACATTTTAAAAGCATTTTATATTTTCACATCCATCAACTTTTTAGAGATAACATCTGCCTCTGCTGAGCCCAGAATTAACCTCCCCGCGGTCCCTATTACCTACAGCGTCTGTCCCTAACTAGACGCAACTCCTTGAGGCCACAGACTGTCTTCTAATTGTATCCTCAACACCACGCGCAAAGGGTACCCAAGGAATATTAGGTGGGGGCACCAAAGACCTCCATTATTTTGTGGAGATGCAGGACAATGTTGCTAGAGCTTCTATTTTTTGTGTTTTGGTTTTTGGAAAAGTTATAAAATATTCTGGTTTTAAGGTATAAGTATTCAGGCCAGGTGTGGTGACGCATGCCTGTAATCCCAGCACTTTGGGAGGCTGAGGCAGGAGGATCGCTTGAGCCCGGGAGTTTGAGGTTGCAGTGAGCTATGATGACACCACTGCACTCTAGCCCTGGCAATAGAGAGAGACCCTGTTTCAAAAAAAAGGCAGCTTTAAAACAGTGAGTAGAACCAACAAAATGCAACTCACCAGTAAATGGAGAACAAAAACTTAAAAATAATGACCATTTATTATCTACCCATTTTACATATATTTATTTTTAACATAATAATACATGGATAATACTTGTAGTTAACAAATTTAAACAACATATCAACACATATAGAATAAAGCAAAAGCCTTTCTCATCCCTCCCGCAACCCTGCACCCCTCCCCAGATGTTACCAACACTATGGAGTTTGGGGTGCATTCTTCCAGATATAAATGGGTAAACTGACATCTCCAAGCTTATCATGTGTCAGATTTAGCCCCATTTCACAGATGAGGAAACTACAGCACGGAGAGGTTGGAGTATTCTTCGAAGACAGAGCTGGCGAGTGCTAGAGCTGAGATTCAAATCCAGATCAGTCTGACTCATAAGTCAGCGCGTTTTCCTTCTACTAAGTCCCCAGTGTAAAATTTTATAGAGGAAGAAATTGAAGCTCACAGAGGTCCCCAGCCATCAGAGCCACATGGTTCACTGCCCAACGTGGGAGAGGCAGGGGTGATTGGACTTGCAGGGGAGGCTGCGTGGAGGAGAGGGCTTTGACCGCGGATCTGGGGGCGCTCAGGACAATCTCGGTCCTCGGCTTGTCCAGGCCACCAGGGTACAGGCTCCACCTGGGACCCTGGCGCCCCTCGAGGCCGTCCCGCCTGGGCAGGCGCAGCACTCGCACCGCCCACCCAGAGCCGGTCCGGAGGCCTGGGGCGCTGAAGTCCCGGGCCCCAGCGGGCCCAGGAAGAGTGCTCGGGAGCGACAGCTGCCTCGGAACCGGGATGCGACTGTCTGGGCTTCTCTTCCTCTAGCCGTCCCGGGGGCGCCCGGCGCGCAGGGGCTGCGGAGGCCCCGCAGTCCCCGGGTGGGTGGCCCTGGCGGGCGGGGGCTATGGGGTCGGCTGTCCCCACCCCGGGGCCGCCGAGGGGCGCGTGGCGGGCGGGTGGGGCGCTGGCGGGGGCGGGGCGCGAGGGCGGAGTCGCGGCCGGAGGCGGCAGTGTCCGGAGCCCGGCTCAGGGGCCGGAGTGGCCGCCGCGCAGCGAGGCTGCCTCGAGAGAGCGCCCAGGCGCAGAAGGGTTAACCAGCCGGCGGGGGCGCGCAGAGCAGGTAGAGACTCTCCCTGGGACCCCGGGCCCCGCCGCCACCTCTGCACGCGTCCCGTTAGACCACCATCCCGCGAGCCCAAAGAGCCCTAGCTGCCTGCGCTGTGCGGTCGCGCCCCCGCCACGACCCCGGCCCGGTTCGGATTGCCTCGGAGGATCTTCCCGTCCCTGGGACAGAATTCCTGGGGAGGGGGTCTGATCCCTTGGAACTCTGGCCCCATCACCCGGGGCGGGGAGTGAGCCAAAATTCCTGCTAAGTCACATAGTAAAGTTGGAAAACATACTCAAGACCTCCCTGCACGCGCCGCGCCTCCTGCCTCCTCTAGGAGGGTGCTCTGGGGGGATGTGTACCCTCGACGCCCGCATCCTCGCTGCCGTGGCTGGGTGGTAGGGCTGCTCGGAGGGATGCAGGTGGGTGCCCTTGATCTAGCCCAAGCCTGCTGGTGGAAGAGGCTGATCGAAACGAAAGACACCTGTTGGGATGGTGCTGCAGGACCCCGGACTGGAGGGCACTATGAGGACCAAGGAATTCTGACGCAGGACAGGGACTCTCCACCGGAAACGAGAAACACACTGTTCCCCGCCCTCCCCGGCAGTGACCCATTTCCCAGAGGTGAGTCTCTCCTGGGCAGAAGGGTTAGCCCTGCAGGTCGTTCCCTTCATCCTCACTGGCCAGCGCGGGGAGGTGTGGCCAGGAGGAGCCCAGGTTTGTCCAGCCCGGGGCCAGCCTGGCCCCAGAGTGACCACTTCCGACCTCCACTTTCCTCACGCCCGCAGTGAGAGACACCAGATGAGAGGCATGAAAAGGGGTGAAAAGCACAAATGTGTGTCTCTTTCCGCAGAGGAGGGGTATGGGCCCCCTGCCCAGCTGTGCAGGGGAGGGTGGGGTGGGACTTTTCCAGAGAGGGAGCCAGGCCTGGCCTGGGCCCCAGGAGCTCACGTCACCCCCACCCCTCACTTCTCCAGGGAACTGCCAGAGCCAAACCCGGCCCAGGACAGGATTATGTGTACTGGGTAGACCCGCAGAGAGAGGCAGCGAGGAGAGACCTGGGGTGGCAGAGGGCGGCAGAGGCAGAGAGAGAGTGGAGAGGGGACCGGGCATCAGAGAAGGTACAGACAGTGACCATTACCCTCCTCCCCTCCCTTGAACCACAAGTAAGAGAGTCAGGCAGAGGGCCGAAGGTGGAACATGGGCCCTTCTCCGGAGACTCTGGCTTCCCCACCCCTGTCAGGGCAGAGCTGCTGACCTCAGTGGCCAGCCCAGCCTGGGCAAGGAGTGGCCACTAGCAGCCCCCTCCCCAACCCCAAGCAGCCAAAGTGACACTGCCCATTCTGGCTCAGCCTCTCTGATCCCTCCCTTAAGTTCCCAAGCCCTGGGGTCTCAGGGTAGGAGTGGGGCTGAATGTCGCTACCCCCAAGCACATTCCTACCCTTTGCTCTGTCATTTTCCTGCCCCTGAGCTGGCCCACCTCGGCAACTACGGCTCCTTGGATTCCTCTCCTGGGTGCCTTTCAGATCCAACAGAAACAATTCTTTTTTTCCTGGAAAGCAGAAGTAAGAGGAGGATGAGGAGTGGGGGTGGGAAGGGCTCAAAGGGAGAAGGAAGGGGCTGGAGGTGGGTGGGCAGGTGGAGAGAGTCAGGCTTTGAGGCCAGGGTAGGGTTGCAAGACACGCTCCCCCAGTGTTCAAAGCTAGACTTCAGGATGGACTGGCTGGCTCTCCGGAATGAGAGGCCTGTGTTGGGGAGCAAGGGCGGCTCCTCTCCTTCCCACATTCCCCCAGCCCTTATAGCTGCGCAGGAAACAAGCCCTCATTGAACCAGTGCCGGATGCTGGCACCCACGGGGAGAGGGGGAGGAGGGGGGTGTAAATCGCCTGTTTCTTTTCTAGAGATTAAACCATCAACCTGCTTAGTTTATCCCTTGGCCAAAAAGTGTCTGAGGCAGGCAGCGATGTGCCTGACTGTTCCTTAAGGAGCTTAGCTAAGAAAGGAGGAAAAAGCCGGGAGGCAGGTGGGCAGCAGAGACAGCTGGGGAAAGGTCTTGTTTCTGGAAAACCCAAGGGGCTTCTTGTCAGCTCCTCAGGGGGGTGTCTGGCATATTCTGACCCAAGTCTCCCTCCTCAACCTTCTAGGTACCTCTGGGAGGGCAGGAGTGGGAGCTGGATGAGACCATCCTAAGACAGAGCCTGCCTGTGTGTGCTGAGCTGGCCCAGAAGCAGCCGCTAGGTGGGACTCAGGGAGGAGCTGAGGTCAGACCCACCCTGTAGCCTCTGCAGATGGACAAAGGGAGCATTCCTTCCTGCTCCCACCCTTAGGATCACAAAGGGGCGGGCCAGTCTCCCCCACCCCTCCATCCTCTCTGAGAGGTCCACTGAGAAGTCATCCCTCCCAGCTGCAAGCTTTCTGGAGACTAGAGAGGTAACCCTCAGGCTTCTGTCCCTGCAGAATGCACCCCTCCTAGCCCAGATGGCTGAGTAGAGTTTGCGTCCAGTCCCCTCCTCCCTCGCCCTGGGGCAATCAAGGGAGGAGCGATGGAGAAGTGGGCAGGCAGGTAAGAGGGGCACCTGGGGTGGAGGGATGGCTCTGTCCTTGAAAGTGAGGGAAAGGGGACCACTGGGAGGGGCAGGGGAAGTGGTGAGCCACTTATAATTTCTGAGAAGTTGGCAGTCAGGAAGTGGGGCGCCTGCTGGGGTAGCGGGCAGTGTCGCAACACCTCCTCTGGCTCCAGGCTGACGTCACCCTCCTGCCTTTGGCTTGCAGGCCCCAGCTGTGTTTGATGCTGCTTCTGTCCCTCCCTCAGCTCTGCCTGGATCAGGAGGTGAGCGCTGGTGCCTGCCTGTGGTCCTTTCATCTCCCCAATCTCCCACCCACCTCCCTCGGCCACGCCTCCATTTCCTGAGGCCTCCTTCCACTCACACTTGGCCCATCCAGCCTCCCTGACACCTCCCCTGACTCCTTACCAAATAACAACATGAGGCCGAGTTCTAGTCCTGCCTCTACTACTGAATGTGGCCCTGGGCCAGTAATGACTCCTTGAGCCTTGGACCAGATAGATACTCTGTATGGTGCCCTCTAAAATTATGCTAATTATGTCTGACCTTCTTCTCTACATAGGTGTTGTCTGGACACACTCTTCAGACACCCGCAGAGGAGAGCCAGAGCCCTGAGGGTGTCTGGGGACCTTGGGACCAGTGGGCCTCTTGCTCCCAGCCCTGTGGGGTAGGAGTGCAGCGCAGGAGCCGGACATGTCAGCTCCCTACAGCTCAACTCCACCCGGGCCTGCCCCTGCCTCCCCGGCCCCCAAGACATCCAGAAGCCCTCCCCCTGTACAGGCCACAGCCTCGGGGAAGGGGTGGCCCACTCCGAAGTCCTGCTTCCCAAGCAGGGAGAGAGGAGACTAAGGAGATTGCAGGGGCCAGGAGGTGAGGCTTTGAGGGAAGAGGCAGGTCTTGGGCAGGGGGCGGGGCTTGCTATGAAGGAAAAGGGAGCAAAGGACATACGGCTTAGGAAGGCTTATCTTTGGTGCCCGGAAGTAGACTGGGGAGACGGGGCCAGAGACGGCCAGAGCTGTGACCCCATGTCTGCAATACCTTCTCAGGTCCCGGGTTCGAGACCCCATCAAGCCGGGGATGTTCGGTTATGGAAGAGTGCCCTTTGCATTACCACTGCATCGGAACCGCAGGCATCCCCGGAGGCCCCCCAGATCTGAGCTCTCCCAGACCTCTTCTGGAGGGGAGGAACCCCTTCCACCCCTGACTCCAAAAGCAGAGCCATCCTCTGCAAACCACAGCCCCCAGACTCAGCTCCCTCCCACAGAACCGTCTGCCCACACTCCATCGCCTCCAGCAGAACCCCTAAGCCCTGAAACTGCTCAGACAGAGCTGCCCCCCAGAACCAGGCCTGCCCTCCCACAGCCCCACCCTGGAGCCAAGGCCTCTGGCACAGGGTCCCCCTCGCCCACCCCCTCCTTAGGAGAAAGTGGCTTCTTCCACGTGTCCCCTCAGCCAAGAATGCCAAGTTCTCAGGGTTGGGCTGGCTCCCAGGGAGCAGGGAGACGCCCTGATCCTTTCCCTTCTGTCCCCTGGCGCCGAGGCCAGCAGAGCCAGGGGCGTTGGAGACCTGGGGGGAATCTTCACAGGCCTGTGGAGTCTGCCCCTCACCACCCAGAGGGCTGGCTGCCTCTGCTGAGTGCTGGCCCCCACTCCAGCTCCCTCTGGAGCCTCTTTGCTCCCAGTAGCCCTGTCCCAAGATGTTCTGGGGAGAGTGAGCAGCTGAGAGCCTGTAGCCAAGCGGTGAGTTCTTTCCTGGACCACCTACCCCAGCCCAGACTTCCAATTCTGCTTCCCCAACACTGAGTCTGGGTCCTCAGCTTGTCTGATCTGGACCCGAGGGAGAAGGGCCTTGGCATCTGACCTCCTCAGGGTAGGGGCCTCAGGGCTCTTCCGCGGACCTGACCCTCCGCCTTGCTCCCCGGATTCAGCCCTGACCTACCCCCCCATTTCCTCCCAGTGCTGACTCCTTTGTACCCCCCACTTCAGCCCTGCCCCCCTGAGCAGCCAGACCCCCGGGCCCTGCAGTGCGCAGCCTTCGACTCCCAGGAATTCATGGGCCAGCTGTACCAGTGGGAGCCCTTCACCGAAGGTGAGGTTTCTAGCCCGGCCCCTGGGCAGGCTGGCTCAGGCTTGGGGATGAAAGGGAGAGGGAGATGCTTGCTTACTCCTGGCCCTGAAGATTTCCATTAGCTGTCGGTCGGGGGTAGATATTTTAGGCCCATGACAACTTGACAGCAAGACCAGCTCTTATGAGCTCTGAACTCACATGAGCATAGGCATTAAGGATCTCTTCTCTGTCAGTTCAGAACCCCCTTGATCTTCTCAGCGACCTCGGTTGACCTGACCAGCTTTTCAGCGTGTGGAATTGTCATGTTCACTTCATACACAGTGACCTGGGCAACCTCGGGATGCCCCATAGCTAATATAAGCAAAGCTGCTGTCAGGCCCCGGGGCCTTGCTTAACCTCCCTGGGGCCCTCCCTAGGGCCACTTAACCTCCCACCTGAGGCCCCAACTAACCACCCTTTTACCCTGTCCCTTAGTTCAGGGCTCCCAGCGCTGTGAACTGAACTGCCGTCCCCGTGGCTTCCGCTTCTATGTCCGTCACACTGAAAAGGTCCAGGATGGGACCCTGTGTCAGCCCGGAGGCCCAGACATCTGTGTGGCCGGACGCTGTCTGGTGAGGGAGGACGGGTGCGCGCATGCGCACACGCACACACACGCCGTGTCTTTCATTCCTCATTACAACTAAACACCAAACAGACTGAGATCGCCATGGAAAAATTCTCGCCTGCCAAGCTGGGCCGAGCAAAGCCCAGAGGTGAACCGCAGGAAGGGTCCTAACAGGCACATTCACGCGTCCCTGAGTGTGGCTGGAGGTGGTGGGGTTGACAAAGAAACACACTGTCACTTGTAGCACGAAGAGCAAGACAGGTGGTGAGCTGCGGGTCCTGAGTGGACCAGGGTGGGGTGTGAGGTGGTGTTTGGCTTCCCTGTGGCCCCTGCCTCACCTCACTCTCTCCAGAGCCCCGGCTGTGATGGCATCCTTGGCTCTGGCAGGCGTCTGGATGGCTGTGGAGTCTGTGGGGGTGACGATTCTACCTGTCGCCTTGTTTCGGGGAACCTCACTGACCGAGGGGGCCCTCTGGGCTATCAGAAGATCCTGAGGATTCCTGCCGGGGCCTCCCAGCTCCAGATTGCCCAGCTTCGGCCCAGCTCCAACTACCTTGGTGAGCACCTGGCTGCCTCCCCTCCATTCCTGGCCTCTCCGTTCTGCCCGCCCCAGCCCCATTCAGCACAGTGAGCAACCAAACTGGGAGAAGGCCTTCTCCTTCCCCTTGTGGAGGCCGCGAGGAAGCTGAGAGGACCTGGGGTATCTTAGGGTGAGAGCTTCTATAGGTTACGGAAGTGGTGGGAGAGGAGGAAGGTATTACTAACCTTGAATTTCCTGATCTCCCATCTCCCACCTGCAGCACTTCGAGGGCCTGGGGGCCGGTCCATCATCAATGGGAACTGGGCTGTGGATCCCCCTGGGTCCTACACAGCCGGTGGGACTGTCTTCAGATATAACCGTCCTCCTCGAGAGGAGGGCAAGGGGGAGAATCTGTCAGCTGAAGGCCCCACGACCCAGCCTGTGGATGTCTATGTGAGCCTGGGGCCTGGGGCAGCTGCGCTGCTGGGGAGAGAGGACTCTTAGGGCAGAGCTGTGGGTGTCACGATGGGAAAGAGGGCTGGTGGCATGTCCCTCTTGCCACCCCCAAACATTCACTACCTTCTCTTCTCCCCAGATGATCTTTCAGGAGGAAAACCCAGGCGTTTTTTATCAGTATGTCATCTCTTCATCTCCTCCAATCCTTGGGAGCCCCACCCCAGAGCCCCCCATCCCCCAGCTTCAGCCTGGTAAGACTCTGATCCCTAGACCTGGAAGGAGGAGGGAGAGGCTGCACGGGGAGCTCTGAGGCAGTGGAGAGTAAATAATTTGCCCACTGGGCTCCCCTGCACAGAGATTCTGAGGGTGGAGCCCCCACCTGCTTCTGCGCCCCGCCCAGCCCGGACCCCAGGAACCCTCCAGCGTCAGGTGCGGATCCCCCAGATGCCTGCCCCACCCCATCCCAGGGCACCCCTGGGGTCTCCAGCTGGATACTGGAAACGAGTGGGACACTCTGAGTGCTCAGCATCCTGTGGGAAAGGTGAGACTTCACGCCTGCATTCCTGGCACCCTCGGCCCAAATCCACAACCTGACACTCATGATCCCACATCCTGGA